CCTTAACATTTGCTAACCTTGTTCAACAGTTAAATACCACCTTGTCCTAAGACATCTACCGCCTGTTTTAGAGGACGACGATTCAGACATGTCAAAACTTGGCTGCTTTTTGCAGTTGCATTTACTTTTTGCAGCTAAGTTTAACAAAAGATTAATTCTGCCTACAGACCTGGGTTTTTCTCAGTCTCTTATCTTCTCCCCACTGTCTTCACCACAGATCTACCACACGTGATCTGCTTCAAGCTCATGCAGTTGTAATGATCTGCTTCCTTGTACCACATATTCCTCTAGATAGAAAACACAGCATCTGCACAAAAAGCTATGCTGTATAATATTAAATATTTCTTTAAACTCACAGTTAGCAAACAAAAGCTCTGATAAATACTATTCAGCAGGGTTTTATGGCCATATTTTATTTGCCATTCTAATTAAATCACTTTTTCCAACTATTTAGTTACAGCTATGATGTTCTTCTGAGGACTTCGCCACTATTCTTTAAATTTGAACACAACCTAATCGCATTACAAACCACCTATCATCTGGGGTATTTAACATCCTTATTAGCATCATATTACTCAGAATCATTATTTTCCTGATTCCTTTTCTGTGTCTTAAGACAATATTTTAAAACTTTCTGTAGTATCTAGTGAGTAAACAGTAATAATAACTAAAGGTGTCCACAGTAGTCATTACAAAAGCAATTATATTTGTTACTTTCTAATTTGAAGTGTTTCTTCAAGGAAACAAATTCTGAGACTGAATTACTGGGACTCTCATTTTCATCTCTACTTATGGATATCTCTCCTTCTTGTCTTTTTCCTCTTTTTAATTTATTTTCCAATGCATTATTATTTTCATTGTTACTTCTACAGCTAAAGTATCATTGTCTCTGTCTGTGCTGTGACATTTATGTCAGCCAGAGTTTTTCCTCTGCAGCCTTACATGAGCATTATTTGATGCAGTATTTTAACTGAAAATAAATCAAATATATTCAGACATTGAATTGTTATATAAAACACGTAACAGTTTTGTTACAAAGATATGATTGAGAAGCTATTCTGTTAACGCATGTGTCTGGAACAGGCTAACCATCAACAACAGTATACTTAATTTCTAAGTGCCTCCTGAAGACAAACTTCCATCATAACTGAACTGCCAATTGAAAATGAAATACAAAGATGTCTCAAATGAATCAGCTGAATCTTCCCAAAACCAAAATCCTCCTCCAGAATAGCTCTCACCTATCACTTGCTCATCTTCACTTTGCTTTTCATTAACACTTGTTGATATATCCTTCACTTATATTGCTTACAAGTTCTATACAACACTGAATGTTTATTATTTTGTTCTTTTATAGTGGTAGTAAAACAGGACCAAGAGGCAGGAAATACTGATTTTAGCCTTCATTAAATTGTCAGTGATAGCAAAGGCATAGAAGATGGCCAATATTATACCACATATATTTTAGAAAAAGTACTGCTGAGGAAGTGGGAATGAGAGACCCTGTTTCTACCCATTACAGGTAGTCTAATGTGCTATAACCAGCTGTCCCAGGGAAAGATCCCTGGGCACCAGGCCATGAACACAGAGTGACACTACTTAGGGCTCCTCTGCAGGGAAAGGGCCATGCCCAGGCTGCATAGCGCTTGGCCTAGGTTTCCTCTGGGCCCTTCTCCACAGCTTAAGATCTAACCATTATTTTTTCTGTACTTTCTGTTCAAGATGTCTGAGGTAATGTGCTGTTACCATGCATCTTGCAGGCCTCCAGAGTGATGTTTTTACAGCATGCCATCCAGGCTACAAGTTGTGTAAGAACAGGTGAAGCTATCCAAGGCATTAGGCATGCTGGAATAGCACTCAGGAGGGAGGGGGAGTGGGGCAAGGAGAACCAGAGCTGGAGGAAAACAGACCCACATGCGAGGTTAGTGACCAGCCATCCAGGACTTCAGAAGGAACTGAGGAACCAAGTTATTTCAAAGTGAAGAGCCCACAGCCCAATATGTTTAATTAGAGAATTGACTAAAATAGTAAAAATGAAAACAATTTTGTAGGCACAGATGCATTTAAGGAAAAGACTGATGTAGCTTTTGTAGAGGAAAGTTATGATTGACATCTATTAGGGTTATTTTAATGAATAAATGTGGACAACAGTGAACTGGCTGATATATCTACTTAGATTTGGTGGGGAGGAAGCCCCTTCCCTGGCCCCTGGTCCTCAAACTACGTGCCTGGCAGGAAGCTTCGCCAGCATGACCCACTCAGCTCATGGTCACCAACCACCTGCCCTCCACACATTTGTCATCGATGGCAGAGAACTCAGACGCCCTGTTAGGGTTTTACAAACACGCCAGTGGTGGGGCCAAGGTTAAAACACTGTGCAAAGATTTTCTTGGGAGTGCAGTCATACCCCGAGAGAACAGAGCCAACAACTTTTTTTTTTTTCTTTTGGTCAAGACAGAAGTGAAAGAGACTCTAAAACACCTTGATGTTAATGCACATCTGCATGTTAGCAAGTAATAAAGCTAAAAAAAGTTGCACCGTTAGATGCTCTAGTGATCTTTACTCAGACCACAGTGACGGTTCTCTGAATTACAGCTTCAAGCCCCTGCTTTATGGTAACCATTATTTTCTATTAGAAATAGCAAACATGTCTCTGTCTATCCACTAAAATGTATTGCGACGTCAGACAGAAAAAAGTTGAAAGGTATCTGTGCAATTCTTGCTGGTATTTAATGAAAACTGCCTATCAAGGCTTTCTTGAAGGAAAGACTTGGCATAATCGAAATAAGGTAATGACTGATTGGAAGACCGTGAAAAGCTAGCGTTTCATGAAGACTTTCAAGTCTACTTTGCATATATTTTAGCTCATTGTCTGAGGCAGAACCAATGGTGATACACTGCTATACTGCTAGATGTGCAGAAAGAGAAAGAGGTGTGCTTTTTTTTTTTTCAGTTGGTAGGTGCAATAGTCATGTAAAACAACAAAATGTCTAAAAAATTGTTCTACAATGCTACTATCTAGATTAACCAATGTGTTTTTAGGAGTTTTAAAATATATGTACTATTTGCCTGTCCACTGTGACACATCAAGGACCCGGTTTTAGTCTTAGATGCATACTTCTATGCAGACTTTATAAATGAAGATATCTCGACCTAAATCTCAAGCTAAGGGCATATAAAGTGTTAGCATGGTAAATTTAATTAACAAATCTCAGTTAATTAAGTTTTGCAAATCTTCTTTTTCCTAGCATATTGGGGGATACTTTTGCATGACTGAGTACATTAATCTATTTCAGGGACTATAAATGACAAGTTTTAAAAAGGATGTGCTCTCAATCTACTTCTGTACATGAGCAACTATTAAATTAGCATTGTAAAGTTTTTAGGTTTCATAAATAGATAATTTGAGTGTTTCTGTATATAAATTAACCCTATTGTATCATTTAGATATAGTCAAAGCCTTCTGAGTCTGCAGAAAAAAATATATCATTGTTTGAAGCTCATGACTGAATATATAAAATGCACTAGGAACAAGTAAATGAAGATTTAGCTGTTCAAGTGATTCATATTTTCTGTCATTAGTGTTACCTCACTAATAATTATAATAAATTCTTTTTTAAAAATAATTTTTCTGACAGCAAGTTCAAAAGACTTCACTTTAGCAGCTTGAGAAATCAACAGCAATTCAGCAATATTCTAATACTGGTAATCAACTATGTATGTGGCGGTATGAATTAACTTATGAAATATAATACACTAAAGCTGAGATATGGTGCACAGGCTGCTATTATGCCTATTTTAAGTAGTAAGAAATATAACTTACAAGCATCATTTGTAGAAATTGAGACTGTTGTTTTCAATAAATATAATTAAGTTAGGATATTTTCCTATTATAAAATTAAAATTAATTTAGCTTATTGAGTTTATTTTTTGGTTTTTTTTTTCTCTGTATTGATTAGAAGTAAACAAGACTCTGCTGACTTTAATGGGGCTAGCCAATTTAGTCTGCCTGCTCTGCAAAGCCCTCATAACGCTTTGTGAATCAGTTAAGAACTTCTTAAGATTTTACTGGAGAGCGTTACTGTTATTTATGATTTTGCATATCTCCTCTTCTTTGCAAATCAGCAGTATGTTTAAACTAATGTAATAAATACACTTGTTTGTTATATTCAAACACATGTCATATTGAAATGTTTGACAGAACAGAATTGTGTGATGCTTTGTTACTGTAATATTCCCAGGCCAGCAAACCACAACATTTGTCATACATTTTTTCAGCTGAACTGAACCTGACCTTGAAAAGAGGTTGTTTACTATTGTATTTATTCTACTTGTTTTGTACAATGCAACTACACTGAGACCCAGAATTGCAGTAGCACGCTCACAAAACGTTGTTACAACTGCTAAGTCAACAAACAAAGAAAAATGTAAATCAGAACTTGCTGTGGCTACTCAGCTCTGGGTGATGCATCGCAAAGATCACGATGGGAATTTCTAGAACTGTGTAGCCCTGGCCATATCTCCAGGTCCATTGCATTGTGAGACCGTATGCACACTTCGGTGGGCAGAAACTCAAACAGGGAAAGTCTATGAACAAGTGTGACCAGGGCAGCTTCACCCAGCTCTGTGCTCAGAGGACTCCATGCCATTCACCTCCGCACGTCGTTACACTCCCAGAAGGCTCCACAACTCCTTATCAGCCCAACACCCATTCTATTTCTAATACATTTTTTTAAGACAATAGTGGTTAAATATACCCAAAGACATTAAAGTGAATGAGTCAACAGTGTCTTTCATGTTGATATTCCACACTTGCCATATATTTGGAAATTATTTCACAGCTGCAATTAAAAAATTGACATTTACTCCATAGTAATAACTGGATTTGGTTTTTAGCAAGGCCATTGTGTTGACTAAAGCAAAAGCAACACAAATTATCCCTTCACATTTTTATCAACTTTTTTTTTTTACTAAATTAAAAATTGCAATAAATGACTTACCATATTGTAGGTGGTTCAGAACCTTCTACTTCCAAGTAATCATATTTTTCTTCCATTTGAAAATCTGTAAATATGAGTGAGATAGTATCGCCAGGTTCTGCCACAATTGTCCATGTGCAATCTGCATTGTTATGATATTCATTAGGAAAATTGGGACTGGAGATGATACCACTGGATCCTCTCATAGTTCCTCCATAAGCATCCTCAGCTGTTTAAAAAAAAAAGTAAAATGTCATTAAAATCACTCCTTAGCAATCTATACTTTCTTAATGAGAAGAAAAATTTCTCTCTAAATAAAAAATGATTTAAGGTATATTAATATGTAAGACTTGAAACATATGCCTGCAAAGTTAGGGTATTAACAAGTAATTGCTTTGCATTTCAAATATTTCAAAATTATTATACTAGTTCAAGTAGATATTTTTATAAGCTACTTTTTATTATTTTGATTAGCATTGTTCCATTCATTTTACAATGAATAAGATGCAGAAATTTCAGGATTTCGTCTCTTGCTCACCAGAAATGTTTTCATCAAGCAAATTGAGTTTAATTGTTATCATAGGCAGTATGACACGAGGAATGCAGCAGCAACATTATACTGAAAAATCAAAGCTCTTCTCAGGTAATTTCCTAAATGTCAGATGGTAGACCTTTTCACAGTTAAAATCTTTACACTACAGTCATTTTAAAGAGGATAATTTTTAACAGATCTTGTGTTTCAAAAACAACTATGAGAAAACCTTTTTCATGGTAACGTTCTATAACATAAAGTCTTGTGCTGAATAAACTTGTAGCATTCGTATTGGAGAAGATTTACAAAATCTTCTAACATCAGCAGAACTACTTCTCACATAGTGATTCACAGATCTCATTCTTCAAGAAGGTAAGAGAAAATGACTGATGCTCTGTATCAACATAAAGGTATATATATGTATCATGTCTAATATCCCCAAAATTGTTTTTGAGAATCTTATATCATTTTTTGTGTGAGTCAATAAAATTGATGGGGATGTAGTTCTAGTACTTTCTGAAATGGAAATACTTTTCAATACAGCAATATCACATTTTATCTCAGTAATTTAATATGCTACCCAAATGCTTGAAGCATTGAAAAGAAATTCTTTTTTCTGCTTAGTTGAAGCGCTAACATGAATAAAAAGTGATCTAAAGCCTGAAAACAGTCAATATTGCTGAAAAATTAGTGAGAAAATTAAAAAAAAAATTCTAAAGGAGTATAGGATCACTGAACAAAAATTTTAAAGCACGTAATGACTCAGCTCTATCAGGGAGAAAATTCTTATTGCTGGTCACAAAGCTCCTAATTAGGGTAATTTAGGAATTTAAGATATCAGTTTTTGTTCCTTAAAAATTCTGCTAGATTATTATACGACCAAGTAGACACACTAAGGTAAAAAAGGTACATTGAGTTTAATCTTACTAATCAACCAGCACATTTAACATTCACTAAACACAACCAAGTTGATGAATTTCATCACTTTACAGGCTCAGGTCCTTTATTGTGAAAGGAATGTAATAGTATATGAAATATATCAAGGAAGTTTTGGTTTTATGATTTAAGGAGAAATTAGGAAATCAGGATCTGTTTTCTTCTTTTTAATTACTACTTCACAGAGTAATATTTCCATTGAAACAATGGCTAACATACTAGCTGAATGATTTTGAAGGACCTGTATGCATTTATTTAAATATATTTTATCATCTATTGATTTGAAAAAGTTCTTACAGGCAAATTTCATAGCTCAATTAATGAAGCTTATGCCATCTGGGAAGAAAATAATAGTGAGTGGAAAAGGTTTTTGACTCACATAACGAGTTTAAAGGAGAAGACTAGGAGTACTCATAAAATACTAAAGACATTAGAATAGCTTTCCTTTAAACTCAAAACTAAAAGGGCTTTGGAAAAATATTGTACTACAGAACTCACTATATCTATTTTTTATAAATGAACTGCAGAGATAAACCTATCCTAGTTCCCAGCAATTTAAAAGCTGTTCATTAAAAATGTTGTTATACTATGCTAATACTTAAAAGAATAGATAAACAAACAGAGTGACTGTGTTTAAAAACAGAGGCTGTGTGAATGAGCCTGTCTGCTATTTCTGAACCACATCTGTTTAGAGAGTCCTGCCAAAATGAATTTTTGCTACCATCAGCAAAACATGAACCAGACACAACATGATGCGTTTTGTTCTGATTCATGAAGCAATCTACAGATAAAAAGGAGAGTAACTACTTTTAAATATAACCAAAAGCACACCAGATATCTTCTTAGCCTTTTTAATGCAAACATTAGCTTGATAAATGAGAGGATTATTGTGCTCAGTTCCTATATCCCTCCACCTACAATATCTTTTGACTGTTGTTTATTTGGCTTCAACCTTGCAGGCAAATCCTCGTAGGCAAAACCTCACATGTGGGAAGACATCAATTCCCTTGAGCATGTTTGGTGCCCTAAGAGTTGTGAAGCCACTGGAAAGGGGAATTCATCTTCAAGCATACTGTAAAGTGACAAGAATTGTTCTTCCTCATATAGACCTCAACAGAAGTTCTGCCACTAACTTCAAAATGCATAGGACCCTGACAAATAAAAGAAAATTTAATGATCATTTCTATGCAATATATGTTGTGAAACACAAACAAACAAACAAAAAAAATGATAAGAAAAATTCATGAAGAATAACAGTTCCCCATCTTCCTCACTGTGCAATGAGCCCAACAATGATATGTGGTCAGGAAAGAAAGAGAGGAAAGGTAATATTTGCAGTAATTTCTGTGCAGAACTCTGAGAATCTTTACATTTCTCTGTCTTCTCACAACTCTGCATGACCTAGGTGAAATCACTTAGGTACCAATCCTCAAAGACACTTAAGTAATGAACACTGCTTAATTTCAATGTGATCAAAAGGTAATATCTAAACAGCAGTTAAGCACCTAACTACTTTACAAGAACTGCTTATCAGTCCCTGTTCTTTTGATTTCCAGTCATGAAACAGGGAGAACAATGTTCACAGGAATGGTGAGAAGACAATACTTTTGTAAGGTTTTTAGACAATCCAGCATTATGCTGCTGACAGTTCTAAATATCCAGCAAGCATAGATGAGATGTTAAAAAACACTCTGCTTTTGAAATTCCTACCCATTATTTTCAAAAAGCAAATTAAATTTATTTTGTCACGAATTTAGAAAATTCATCTAACCTACAAACTTGCAAATGGGATATGAAGGCAAAAATGTAAAAAATATGCAGATTGCCAAGATGTCATTTTTGCAAACATACTTCTCTGATCTTAACCATATGCTGAAAAGAGAAGATTTTTCAAAGTGATATGCAAGTAGGGACTTGGCTTAGAAAAGCTTTTCAGGATATTAAGAATTCAAATGAAGTTCTATATTTGAATATGTATGAGGGCTCATGCGGAGGGAATATCTCTGATACTGTGCTAATGTATGTGATGATTACGAGAGTACAAAAGTTTGAGGATCCTTTTTTAAACTTTGTGCATAGTTGGGTCATTATTTATATATATATGCACATGACACATTTTTTTCTTCTCAATAAATCCCAGGAATAAAGGAAACATCTGGATAATTCCTCACGCAAATTAATTTCATAAAATTTTATATTGCATTCTCTAAACCAGTTACCTTCTTCTTTGTATGCTGTTCCTTGTCCCTTTTTCATAATGAATTTTTAAAATGCACATATTTATTTATTTAGTCTTCTTCTAGTTTATTTTTAGATGTCTGGTTATTCCTGTAGGTTTAAGTGATATTTACAATAATGTTACATAAACATTGAACTGCAGTGATGATCAAACACAGTCGATGTTATCAGTGATTTATAGACTCTGCAAATTCACTGATTTCGATGGTAATTCAATGAGATTTCATGGTAAATCAAGTTTTAAATTGGCACACAATGTATCATGTCATCTAATCTAACTAGATATTTATACGATTTGGAAAAGTTAAACTTAAGTGCATCACTTCACTGTTCACAGAATGATAGACATTTACATTATTTAGTCTTGAAAATAAAGTGAGAGAAAAAAAAAAGGAGTATAGCAACTTTCCTAGTTTAAACAATAATCTTTATAATATCCAGTAAAAGCTTTGAGCAAGTTGGGCTGCTTCTGAAGTAACTCGTCAAGAAAAGCTGAGTGGTTTTGAGAGGACCTGTAGCAATTGCTCTGTACCTTGATCTTAGCTAAACAGATTCTATGAAATTCATGGGACACCATTCACTCAGGCACAACCCCAGCTGTAGTACTGTTGCTCTCCTGAATTTTAGAGTCTTTTATTTCAGACAAGTTAGCTGAGCAGTCTAAAGAATTAACAGTGTATTCCTCCTGTTTGAGCATTTAACAGTCATATTAATTATTGCTTTTAAGATCTATGCACATTAATAACACCTAGCACTTATACTTTTCATCTGAAGATCACTGCCGAAGCATTGAATTCTTTGAGAAACTCTAGTGCTTTTAATAGAATTTAGAATAGGTAAATAGATAACAAGAATGATGTGTAGGAATTTCAAATATACTATTTTTTCTTGTTTTACTTTAACAAGGTCACTATTAGGTTAATAAGTCAAATTCTACTGAAACATTCAAATTCACTGTAGCTACTGTCCACTATGTTACTAGTATAAAACATTTCTCATATTTGAAAGAAACATAATCAGAACAAAGAGGGAGAATACTGGGGAGAGACCAGTGGCATAATAACTTTCACTTACATCTATGCCATTCTTGGTGAAAGTCATAGTTGTGTCCTCATCTACACCAAGAAATCCCATACTGCTACATGAGACTTTGAAAATCATTGCCAGATAATTTAACCCAGATCATTCCCTCCAGTTTCTAACTAACCATGAGAGAAGAATGAGGAACAGCTACACAAGAAAGTCACTCTTGTGCCATGTTTTCCGAAACTGCATGGCACAATCTTGGCTGTCAGCAAAGGATGTGGACCATACGATACAATAAGAATATAGCATTACAAGATAAATAAATCTTGATCCAATCAGTGTGGTTAAAAATGACTTTATGTGCCTCTGCACATTCTTCTGCATATCTCTGAATGGGATGCATCCACATGTATGCATGTGGTTATACAAATTCTACCCATCTACCCAGTATTTTCTTTCAAGCTCCTGTGCTGCCTTAATTGATGTCTAACTGTAAA